ATCCCTGCCTTATACCATTTCAGACAAATGGTTGTCCAATTTCTTCTTAAAACCTCCAGTGGTGGAGCACCCACAACTTCCGAAGGCAAGACCTTCCACTGATTATTCTGTCAGGAAATGTCACCTTAGTTCTAGGTTCCTTCTCTCTATCCATTGCTTCTTACTCTTCCTTCAGGTGTTTTGACTCCCTCTTCTGTGTGGCAGCCACAACGCACTTCAACACTTGCAGGAGTTCACTTTCTGAGGGCAGAGGAAAGATTAGCCTCTCAACATATGGCGGTTAGTGTCAAAGCACTACACAGAACACATTATTTGTATTTGAAAAAACAGAGAAAGAGTAGAATTTCAGTTTCCATGATTTTTCAAGACTATTTGTTGGAAAATAGACCCAATGTTAATTGAGGTGATGTGATTTGTAGTTCCGCCTCTGCAAAAACTCACCTTAAGAAAATGATGGGTTTAAATTAAGAGGGGTGAAGTGAGAGCCACCATTTCTTTCACAATGAATTTTTTGCTGGAAGCAAATTATTCTATAGTAGCTCAATAAATTTCATCCGTTTTAAGCCTGCAGACTGAGGTCATTGAATAGAATGCTTTAACTGCTTCCTTTCTTTTCAAATAAAATAACTTACACCCTGTTGTAGTTCAAAGTGTGTACAAGCTTATCATGTGTACAAAATGTATTCATCGGATGAATGTTGTGGTTCATGCCAACATTTCCTTATGTATACATACATTGGCTAGGAAAATAGGAATAGGAAATAAAGAGGAAAACGTTATTGGGTAACGTTGTCCCTTTTTAGTAAATGCTTTGCTTGGCCATCATTCAAAGTTATGACAGTGATGAAAAGTAACTTTGTGATCAATCCTTGCATTTACAATCTTTGCAGGACTGTAAAGCAAAGGAGAACTGAAGTAAAATCATAAGCACAGTGACAATTTCACTTAGCAACTACTTCATTTGACCACTGAGTTGCCAGTCCCAATTATAGTCACTAAATGAGGACTAATGGTTGAATGATTCTACCTTGAAAAATTGTTTCTGTAACTTGACAGCTCCGATCCTGCAAAAATAAAGCATACGTATGAGCCAAAGACATTTGCATATATTTAGCAAAACATAACTCTCATCATCATTAAGGACATGGAGCAGGAATTAACATATACAGTGTTAAATATTAGGCATCCCAGCACCCCTAACTGAGTAAAGCTTTCTGGCAAGTACGTTGTCTAAATTCATGTGATTTCACAAATTGCTTGAAGAAGGATTTTCAAATTATCTAAGTAACAAATGCTAAATCCCACTGAGCAGCTTTGAGTGTGTTGCTTAAAATACATGCATAGATCACAATGTTAACTGGAATGGAGAATGTGTGGCGCCCCAAACTATGCCTGTAGCATCTTTCTCCATTGGCCATGCTGATGGGAAGTACTAGGAGTGTAATTCACAGGATCCTCTTCACTAGAACAGGGCTTCTAGTGAACCATTAGAATAGGGTTTCTCAAATCTGGCAATGTTGAGATGTGTGGACTTCAACTCTCAGTATTCTGAGAGTTATGCATTAGAACATACAACACCCATGAAAAGAGTTTTAGTTCATTCCTGGCATCCACAAGTAGAAGTGTCTTTAATGACAGATTATTTTGGAGATCCAGGAGATCACCAATAGACTTTGAAATATCGAAACAGGTAGTCCTCGACTTACAACTGCAATCGGGACCAGAATTTCCATTGCTAGGCAAAGACAGTTGTTAAGAGAGTCACACTCATTTTTACAATTTTTTCTGCCACGGTTTTTACACAAATTACTGCAGTCTTTGAATCCAGCTTCCCCCCATTGCATGTCAGAAGCTGGCTGGGAAGATTGCAAATGGTGATCACGTGACCTTGGATGCTACATCTGTTCTAAGTACATGCTGGTTGCCAAGCGCTCGAATTTTAATCACATGATTGCGGGGATGCTGTGACGGTGGTAATAGCAGTAGTGTTTAGGCTTATAAACTGCCCCATATGGCACTACAGTGCTCTCTGGTCAGTTTACAATGTAAGCATTATTTGCATATCTGGGTCCTCATTTTACCAACCTCAGAAGGATGGAAGGCTGAATCAACCTTGACCTCCATCAGGATCGAACTCTAGACTGTGGGCAGAATTTGCCTGCAATACTGCACTTTAGCCACTGCACTACAAGTGCAAGGAGCAATCATAACACACTTTTTCAGAGCTGGTGAAACACTGGTCGCTTAACAATTGTTTGTAAGCGTAGGACTACCTGTAATAACATTCTCTTAAAAATAACTAGAATAAATTTTGAAATTATAGAGGACCCTGAGTTGAGAATGATCAGATCATTTGTCTGAAATGGTATAGGGCAGTGGTGGCGAACATATGGCACGGGTGCTAGAGGTGGAACTCGAAGCCTCTCTATGGGCACATGTGCCGTTGCCCCAGCCTCGTCTCCCCCCATGACCCCCTCCACTCAGTAGGCCCCGTGAAGGAGAGTTCCCCTGTGTGTGGCCCATGTGGAGCAGCGCAGCCAAGGACATGGCAGCCAGGCAGCGTAGACAAGACTCTGCCCTCATCATGCACAGTTGATGCTGCAGGGCGCAGGCAGAGGGCATGACCGCCATAGCATTGCTGGGCTGCCTGGGCGATCTGCAGCGAGCCCTGGAGGCAGCGAGTAGCCCTGTGGGCAGGTGGGACGGGGGATGGGGGGGAGAGTGGGGGCAGGGCAGGAGGTGGAGCAGGGGCGGGGCCAGTTTTGGGGCACTCGGTCTCTAAAAGGTTCGCCATCACTGGTATAGGGTTTCCTCCCTGAGCAGGGGGTTGGACTAGATGACCTCCAAGGTCCCTTCCAATTTTATTATTGTTGTTGTTGTTATAGTTCACAATGAATTTTCTCAGCTCTCAGTTCTCTACATTTCCAAACAGCATAAGGACCTGTAATTTGCTTTTTTAAAAGAATCACTACTAAAACTAGGAGCCAAAAGATTAAATATATTTCTCTAGTTCTGAATCCCATAGCATGAGTTATGATTCCCTAATTAACCCAATCAATTTAAATGGCACAAAAAACACTTGTAGGGTTTTGAAGCTAATCTGAATTATATTGGAATTTTTTTTTTTTACCTGCAGCTTTCTCTTGTCCACCAGTAAGAAACTCATGGGAACTGAAATGATTTACATTTAAATAATAATGTTGTATTCATGTATTTCCTTCCTCCAATAAAAGGCTTACAAACAAAGGCATCTAAATATAATCACATGCTTATACCGTTGCAGGGAAATTGATATTGTGAAGCAGCGTTCTAAAAGCAGGACTTCAAAGGAGCAGCCAGCCTCCTGTGAAAGCACTTTTCCTGGTGTTTTCAGTTGTGGTCAATATTAAGAGGGGCATGGAAATCTGAATGCCATCTTCGACTGCTTGCAGGCATGAATATGCTTCTTCCTGAAAAGTATCAACTGGGTGCAGTTTTAATTCAAAGACAAACAATAACAATTTATTTTTTGAGCTCAGATGAATTTAGCACAGATTAATTTGATAACTTGAGCCCTAAATCACAGTAAAATTAGACTTAATCTTTAATGGAGAGAGAAAGAGAGAGACGGAGGGAATAAAGGAGGGACAGGGGGAGAGGAAGGGAGGGAGAGAGGGAGGGAGGGAGGGAGGGAATAAAGGAGGGACAGGGGGAGAGGAAGGGAGGGAGAGAAAGAAAGGGAGGGAGAGAGAACTTGAAGGACAATGCAACTAGAGAATATTTTGCTTGCGATGCAAACCACATTCTTCCCCTTGATTGTGGTATTTGCTACTACCATTGAGCACAGGGGAGGAGGCAATGCCATGTGTTATCCAGACTAGAGCAGTCTAGGTCAGGGGTAGGCAACCATGGCTCTTTTATGACTCGTGGACTTTTAACTCCCAGGCTCAGGAATTCTGGGAGTTGAAGTCCACGAGTCATAAAAGAGCCAAGGTTGCCTACCCCTGGTCTAGGTAGACAAACACAGTTGTAATTGCAGGTGGATAGGTGTTGGGCTACCCTTCTTAAACCGATTAGCCAACAAACCACTATTACATTTAAGGCAGACATGTCAAACTCGCGACGTCACGTGACATCATGTAACATATCGGAACTTTTCCCCCATTGCTGGCAATGGGGTGGGTGCGGTTTTCTTGTGGTGCATCTGGCCGGCAGGCCGGCAGTTTGACACCCGATTTAAGGGATTCTGCTGTTATTTTTGAGTTCATTAGGTTACTGAACGTGTAATTCTGCAGAGTACTGTAACAGAATTTAAAGTTTAAAAATGAATTCTGTGCTTCTTTACAACCAGATTTCACAATTGCATCTCATTAATTTAATAACTTCTACGGGGAGCCCTCAGCGTAGAACTCCAATTGAGACCAGACTTTCTATTATTAAGTGAAGTGGTTGTTAAGTGAATGGTGCCCATTTTATGACCTTTTTTTCTCATGTGCAGTTGTTAAGTGAATCATGCAGTCATTAAGCGAATCTGGCTTCCCCCTTTGACTTTGCTGGCTAGGAAGGCCGCAATTAGTAATCGCCTGACCCCAGGACAGTGCGATGGTTGCATAAATACAAAGCAGATTGCCAAGCACCCAAATTTTGATCACATGACCATGGGGATGCTGCATTGGTTATAAGTGTGAAGACAAGTTATAAGTCCCTTTTTTCACTGCCTTTGTAACTGTAATGGTCACTGAATGAATGGTTGCCCAGCCTTTACACTAAGAGTACATCAAAAAGGGAACTTTTTTTTAACACAGTCATTTGTTGTTGGGAAAAGAACGGAATGCTGGTGAAGACCCTTGCCTTCCAGGTTGAGAGTTCCATCCTAGGTAGTGACAGATGTTTTTCTCTTGGGGCATGAAGAAAAAATATCTGCTGCAAACTCTGCATGGTGTCAGGAAGGGCATCCACCCAGTAAATGCTCAGCTCCATATAGTTGCTCCAACACTACGCTGAATTAAGGGATTACAGGGTCGTAAAAAGGGAGTTTTTATTTGTTATTGGGAAAAGGAAAAAATAGGACAACAAAATAGCATATTTAATTAAAAGTTTTGTATAGATGCATAACTTGGTGAAGATAATTGGCCACTTGATATATGAGCATAGGGTTACATCCCTTAAGAAATAATAAATGTAAAATTCATTTGCAGGACCCTTGTATTTGGAAATGTTTGGAGTGATCCGAACATCTTGGGGCATCAAAGAAAGAGCATCATATATGGACATGGACAAGAGTTTCTATCTCTCTAGATCCACAAAGTCTTTGTAAACAAAGAATCCCATGAAATCTTCCTGACAGTAGAGCTGATGGGAGGACATTCTGGCATTCAACTTTTTTTTTTTCTCAACCTTATTCATGCTGGCTGGGGAATTCTGGGAGTTGAAGTCCACCCTCTTAAAACTGCCAAGGTTGAGAAACACTCCTCTCAAACTTGGCTTTTTGCTTCAGTCCTTTTTGCTCTAGAGACAGCAGCTGATTCCACTTGCCACATTGTGTTTGCCTTCACCGACACACCAAACTACTCTTCTCTTTCCTTTTTGTTCGCATCAAAGGAGATAACGAAGCTTTGAATGGCAGTCATGCTCTCAATGTGTTCTTCCTCTAAGCCTGATTGTAGCAGCCTGCAAAGACGAGCTCCACGGGGGTAGCATATCCATGTTTTATTTCAGGGAAAGAAAGAAAACTTCCAATACAGATACCCGTCATTTATTGGAAATGTTATTCATCTTTTCTCTCTGTGTTGTTAGGCAACTGTCCTCACTGACATTTCTTCTGGAAGATGTGTCTTATACCTTTTTGCAAATGACATAAAAACATAGTTAAATGTACTTTTCAGTTGAAGAGTATAAGATCACTGCTTAGGAAGGATAGCCAAAGAAATATTTTATCGCAAATAGGACAAAGAAAAATTGTGCTATTTTCACAGATTAACAGTTTAACTGCAGCAGAAACTGTTGATAAACAAGGAATAAATGAGAATGTATTCTTAATAGTTAATTCTCCAACCCTTACCACCTCAGTCCATAAACTCTATTTCCTATCAATGTGACCTAAGATAGTAAGACTTCTGGTTGGATACTGATATCAGGTGTGAGTAACTTGTTTTTATTGATTGTCAGTAAAATTATTTTAAAAGGGCCATAGACCTACATACAAATTTTGAATTCACTATCTGAGTATCGCTCCTTCTGAGACACAAGCAGCACACAAACGCTAATAATTCAAATAACAATGAAACAGACTGAGTAACAGCAAAACACTGGAATGCATTCCTTAAGTTGCCTCAAATAATAAAATGAGTGGCCTATAAATTTAATAAATAATTGCAGCTAATTGTCTACTAATAAGAGTCTGGAATTTCCATTGTATGTCATGATGGTCCTGGGCATGCTGGTTACACGTAAAACAAGCCAGGATGGATTATAAAGTATTTAGTGCAACAGATTTTTCAATGTCTTTCTTTTTCTGTAGGATTCCCTCCTGTCTCTCCTCTTGAATCTATGATTTTAGCATCCTTGATTATAGTGCAAGACACAGGGTGGGTTTGTACCAGCTCTGAACTGCACCCGAGGCAACCCCTTTTTAGCCCAGCACCTTGGGCGTTCCCACCCCTGTGATTAATGGTGCAGTCCGTTATGCCAGCCCAGAAAATTGGGACGAGTAACCCATGTTTCACTTTACCGTGTCCTGTGAATTCGTGCAATCCCACACCATCCCTGGGGCTCATTAAGCAAGCAGGGCTCACTTAGCCACCACAAATGTGCTGGTTGTATGCCCGCAGAACACAGGGTTGAACAGCAAATCACGAGTCACGGTGTCGTGGGAACGCGGCCACCTTCGCTAACCGAGCAAAAGCGGCTGGGAACCAGGAGGGCGAGGAGGAGGAGGAGGAGGAGGAGCTTCGACCAGCCGCTCTGTTACCTCCAAGAGCGGGGCGCAGCCAGCCGCGCCGCCCGGAGCAGAGCCAGCCCGGACTGCAGGCAGGCGGGGAGGCGTCGTCGGGAGCCGGTCAAAGCCTGCCGCGGAGCCCCTCCCTCCCGCTCCCCGCCAGCCGTGCGGCAAGCAATCGGGCGCCAGGGGCCGGCGCTGGACGCCGCCTTCGCCTTCCTGGGCTGCTCTGCGCCCCACGCCGCGGAGGGCGGGAGCGAGGCGCGCAAAGTGTGCCGGCGCCGCGCGAAGAGAGTCCCGCTCGCCGGACTCAGACCCTTCCGGGAGCGTTAGCCCAGCAGCCGCGATGCCGCTCGCTCAGCTGGGAGCGGAACCTTGGCCCGAAGTGGAGCTGGTCGACATGGAGCTGGACGCGGCGGAGGTGAGTGGCGGGGCGGCCGGCCAGCGAGAGGCGGGCGGGACTTCCCCGGCGCCGCGCGGGAGCGGAGCGCAGCATCGCGCCTTGGCCCGTCCGGGCTTGCGGGGAGGGGGGCCGACTTTTCAGGCTCGCCTGCTGCGCCCCCGCCCGCCCGGCTAAGCCCCGGGAAGGGGCAGCTGAGCGGAGCCCCGAGCCTGCTGCTTCCAGCGCCCGGCTGGGACTGCACCCCCCCCCTTCTCGTCAAAGCCCGGGAGGGTCGCTCCGGAGCCGCACCTGGCGGTTCGGCCAACCGGATAAGGCAGCCCTGAGCACCCCGCGCTAGGCGCGGACCCCCAGCTGAGCGACGGAGCGAGCGACCGGCTGTGGCTTGGAAAGAGCGGAGGCGGTGGCCGTCCCCAGCCCGCCAACCATTAAGCGGACGAAACCACCGGAGGTGGACTGTCCCCCCCACCCACGCCTCGCCGCCCTCCTGTGAAAGAGGTGTTTATAGAGCTCTGGGAAGCCCTGCTCCGACTTGGATCGTCCCCATAGTAATAGCCCTTGGCCCGAAGCAACATTCCGGCTCCTTGTGCTGGAAGCTATTAAAGGGCACCGTCCCGTTTCCTCCTAATTAAAGTAATCCGAACCGCCTCGTTGAACCGATCAATGAGCGGCTTTCTGAAGCCCCCTCCGGAGCCTGCGCCTCGGGGACGGCTGGGGCCTGGCTGTGCCTCCTCTTGGAAGGGAGTTGAGCAACCTGGCTGGGTGGTGCTGGCCAAGGGGAGAGAGGTTTCCTCTTTCTGGTGCTGGGCTGAAGAAACAATTTCCTGCCCCAGCTGGAGGTCTGTTTTAAGGAGAGCAGAAGAGGAGGGACCCCACCCCACCTGCAGGGCGAGGCGGCTCCTTCTGCTTTTTCCACCCCCTCAGGGTTTTTAGCCTGCAAGGAATGAACGTGGGGAGGGAGGCAGTCTTGAATTTGGGTTGCACCTCTGGGGGTTTAGACTTTAGGGTTAGGGTTAGATCAGCTTGCTTTTCAGGAAGGGTCTAGTCTTGGAGTTCCTGTGATATGGCCAAACCTGTATCTTGAATGTCTGAAATAAAGTGTGGTTGGATCAGGTAAAATGGTCCCAGCAGGCAGAAAAGGGAGAGAGAAAAAATCTTGGGTTCTACAAGGCAGTCTGTGTAAACGATAATAAATGTGAGAGGGAGGAAATTACTGCTGTGAAGTTATTCGGTGTGCATTTATTCCCCTTTGCAAAGCAAGGTTGGATTCCCTCCACCTGCAGACTGCATGTGTGATTAATCGTGCCCAATGCTCCTTTGGTGTGCTGGGTTTTAACAACTGCAGTTTGCTTGGTACCACCGAGCAGGCTAGCAAACTGCAGGCTGTGCAGACTCATTCTAAAGGACAAATGTAAAGAGAGGACAAGCATTGATAAGGAACGGTGACTTGCAGGGAGTGGTGAGATAGGAGAAAGTTAGCTGCCAGCATGCCTCAGACTTAGGTTGGCCCACAAGATAAATAGCAGAGTCAAAGTCCAGAAATCTAGGCAGAGAAAACAATCTCTGTCTAGCCATCACGACCAATAGGAAGATCCAAGTATCTGGATGGCATCTTGCTTGTTTCTCAGCCTGGCTGAGTCCCAAACAGCAGTAATGAAATTCTGGATAGGCATCCTCTGGTGCATAAGTAGGGATGTGGGAAGATGGTCTGGGAAACATCTGCATCCCCTTGCTGGTGTTTTCTGTGACAAGTGCAGGAAGCCAGCAGTGCTAGCAGGAAATTGTTGGGAGCTGGATAACCCTGTCTCTTTAAATTTCAATAATCAGCCAGAACAAGAGTTCTTAGCACTGGGGACAATGTTGCCCTCAAGCTTTGGCCACGTTGGCAGGGGCTGATGGAAGTCCACTTTCCATTCTGAACACAGCCCCAGTTCCTACTAATGAGCCTTTGGGAAGCAGGGGTAATGAGCCGATGGAAGAGAATGTTGGCTTTCTCACTGTGTACTCTGAAACTCATTTTAAAACAGTAACATAAGGTCAGAGTTAACTCTCAGGTTAACTACGATGTAGAATAGGTAGAACAGGAACAGCTGCTGTTGAAGGTGTTCAACTCCAAATGCGATACAGAGATTTCCATCTTCCATGGAGAGTGGTCTCTAGTTCCAAGCAGCCATGAAACTTTTAAAATGATATTAAAGGCTTTATTTAAAAAAAAAACTTTTTAGCTACGTGTACGTAACATGCTAAATGTAAATCATGCTTTATAAATCATAGTGTCTCAGTCAAACCAAAACAGCCCTATTATGTTTTTGTGTATGAACCGGGCCATTATGTTAATCGTTTGAATAGGCATATGAGATGAACCACAGACACTTGATAGCTTGTTAACCCTGGTTGGTGGTTCAGCTCTGATAACTGCTGTTAAAGAGTATAATTATTCCACAGCAAAATGAATGACATACTTCAAGGCTGTATGGAGTGTATCATTCATTTTGCTGTAGAGTAATTATACACCCTGTGTGTCTCTGTATGCATAGGTAGGCATAGGTAGGTGTGCTTGCACACAGGATCAGCTATTGATCTTTCTAATGGCATTTTTATTCTCTCTCTGTGTGTATTGTTGTGATTTATTCTTCATGGCTAGCTGGCTCAATGCAGTAATCAAAGGCGTTATTAAACTTCTTGCACGATAAAGGGGAACGAAAGCAATAGGTTCTCTCTCCACCTTTGTCCTCACTCAGAAAATATTTTGGTCCAAGGGGGTGCTCTGGGTTCTTTTTCTGTGCTTGAAAAGAATAATGTTGCCTCATTAAAGCATTCAATCTCCTCACACGTTTCAAAGGGAGCCTGGCAGACTCCATGGCAGTGCCTGTTTTTTTTAATTGTTTTTAAAACAATATTCCTCAGGTGCTGGGTTAACTTAGGGGTCAGGGGCCCCCAACCTTTTGGGGCTGGGGGATTAAATTTAGAATTTGGAAGTGTGTGGTGGGCAGTCTCTCAAAATGACATTCCAGGAAGGGGTGCAGCAGAAGGAAGATTGGCCCATTCATAAAAAGCTGTAACGAGACATCATTAAAGCCGAAAGCTTCCTGCTACCCTCTCTAATTCCTACCCCTCCCCCCTCATGTAGGCTTCTCCCTTGTTTTTATTTGTTCTTTCTCTGGGAAGGTGGGCACCCTTCCAAGAGAATCCCGGGTGCAATTACCTTCCATTTTTTATTTCCCAAGCAACCCCTTGAAGCACACAAGCACTTCTGCAATTAAAAGCTCTGCTGGAAGCTTCATCATGTTTGATTTAAACATTGTTTAAAAATAAGAAACCAGGTGAGTCAAGGGATCTGGCAGGTGCTGGTTGGAGAATTCTGGGCCAATGAGTGTTCCTAGGACCCTGTTTGGGATCTATGTAGGCCTTGGGCTTACGTAGAGCAGTGCTTTTCAATTTTAGTAGAGCAGTGCTTTTCAATTTTAGTCATTTTAAGATGTTTGAACTTCAACTCCCAGAATTCCCCAGCCAGCTTAACAATGTGTTACTAAGTTAACAACCACAATGATTCACTTAACAACTGTGGGAAGAAAGGTTGTAAAAGGGGGCAAAAATCACTTAACTGTCTTGCTTAGTCACATTCATTTTCGGCTCAATTTTGGCCATAAATCAAGGCCTATCTGTAGTGTTCTTCTCTTGATCCCAACACCATTCAAGGGCAATACAAAGTGTGTAAATCTGGTAGTATCTGATACCAGATAAAATAAAACTAGAGAGCCCATTTCGTCTCAGTTAGTTTTCTGCCTATTGAAGGATGGGTAGATATAATTTCTACTCCGTGATGAGAAAAAGTTCTTTGAAGAGTCCTCCGTCCTCTATGAGCTTCGTTGTTTCCTTGCAGATATTTCATTACCCAACAAGTCATCGTGCTAATAAGGAGTGGGGTTTGCTCTCAATTTATATTCTGTGGCTTGCCCTGTCAGTGTTGGTGGGGATGGTCTCCGCGGTTCTTTGCTTGAGCTGCTTACTGTTAGAATCAGACTAACGATCAAGAAGTAAACAATATCCCAATCAACAATATGTCAAGCAAGCTAACAGTAAATAGCTCAGGCAAAGAACTTCTAAGACTTCTCCTTCCAACACTGACAGGGCAAGCTACTAGAACAGTGATGGTGAACCTATGGCACGCGTGCCAGAGGCGGCACTCAGAGCCCTCTCTGTTGGCACGGGTGCCACCGCCGCCAGCAGCAGGTCCATCAGGCTGCCACTGCCACCTGGAGCAGGAGCCCCGCCCAGCACAAAGGAGGCAAATTGGCTGACTAGCAAGCTCGAGTAGAGGTGGTAGACAGAGGTCACCAACCATTGTCGATTGGTGGACTGGAAGAAAAAGGAGGGGGAAGCATTTTGCATGCGCGCATGTGCATGCACGCTCTGCAAATGGGGTGGGGCTAGTGCCTGCGTGATACTCACTAGCCCTGCCCCCATTCTTGCATTGTGCAGCACCTTGTATCTGCACCCTGTGGCGTGGCGGCAGACATTTTT